CGGGCTGTGTGTATCAGCACGGTTATAGTATTTCCCCATCTAACACTAATGCGGCCCAAGCCTGCTTAGTGCCCAGCAGCTTTGGAGATGGGTGAGCTCAGGTAGCAGTCACTAGAGAGTGCTGCTTCTCTCTCGTTCGCAGAGTGTCACTGTGTGATCCAGGTTACAGGCACGAGCCACTTCTGCCCGTACTTTCCATTATAAAAGTTCATGATATGCTAACTGTACATATTTATGAGATACAGTGTGATATTTCAACACAGGTATACCCTATGTAACAGAGCAGAACATTGCTTTATCTGTTACTTCAACAACCACCACAGCATCCACCATTTTTGTGTAGTGAGAATGAAGTTCTCTCTTCTGCCTTTTTTACAATATTCAATTAAATGTTAACCATAGTCACCCTCCTGTACTACAGAACATTTCCAGTTATTCTTCCCTAACTCACTCTCTCCAGCCTGATAACTGCCATTCTGTGCTTTGCCAAGACCCCGTTAACTTACACCTAGAAATGAGAACACGTAGGATATGCCTTTCTGTGTTTGCTTCAGCTTCTTTTATGCAGCATTTTCTATTTTAACACTTAAAGAAAAATTGAACTGCATTAAAATGAGATATTTAGCTTTGATGGTTTGTGTAACTTGCAGTAAAGACAATTGTATATTTACTGGTGACTCTGACAGTGATACTGCAGTAAAGACAGTTGTTAGTCTGTTTAGGTTGGAGCTCACGGTTAAACTGATTTTAGCAGATAAAGTGGTTTTCTTTATTTGTAAGAAGATTTTGGTGTTGATCATAAACTAGTTTTGTTTGAATTTATTAAGGACTAATCAGAATGGAACATTAATGGAAGGTTCCTTTATTATCATCCTCCTTTGCAGACCTGACCAACCCCGAATAACCAAAGATGTGATTTGTTTTCATGCAGAAGATTTCTTAGAAGTAGTTCAACGAATGCAGTTAGATTTACATGAACCTCCACTGTCCCAGGTAAAACCAAAACTTAAAATAATAATTATTTTTCACTTAGATTTTGTTGTGCAAAAGTCTTACCTGTATTTTTTTTCCAGTGTGTTCAGTGGGTTGATGATGCAAAACTCAATCAGTTGAGGAGAGAAGGCATCCGCTATGCCAGGATTCAGCTGTATGACAATGACATTTACTTCATTCCGAGGAATGTTGTTCATCAGTTCAAGACAGTTTCTGCTGTGTGCAGTTTGGCGTGGCATGTTCGCCTTAAGTTATATCACGCAGAGGAGGACACGTGTCACAGCGCAGTCACTCACGAAACATGCATGTCATCAGGTCCTAAATCATCCGTTCTCGAACCTCGCACCGACAACATCCTTTGTGCTGTGAACCAAACCTCATCAGACTCCGGGTTTTCAGACAAACTTCATTCTAAGTATGAATCACAACAGATTAAACACGAACCTATTGCACCTACAAGAACCAAGGAAGACCCTTTGAGAGTTAATACAGCTGAAAAGACTAGACCCCCGAATAGTACAGAAGGCAAGGCTGTTAAGACAAAGTTGGATCATGTTCAGTTTTCAGGTTTTCAGATTGATGTGGATTCTAAATTTGAAGACAGTAACAAAGACTTAAAGGAAGAACTGTGTTCTGGAAGTCTCATTAATGTAGTTGATACACGGCAACATAGTTCTGTACACTCAAATCAAGATAAGAATGATGAAGACAATTTGTGCTAAATTTGTACATTGTGTTTAAAATTCCTTTTTAAAGATAATTTGTAATAATGATTCATGAAATCTGAAAGCGAGCCTAGGAATTTCTCTTGTTTGTTACAACACAGTTTCTGTAGCTTCGTAACATTCCGCAGTGCCTGTCCGTGACTGAATCCCACGCCTAGGGCCAGCCGCACTGTCAGCATTGCCGGTTACATCAGAGGAGTCTGTGGACGCCATTGGAGGTGGAGTTTTAGGTTTCAGAATGGAGCTGACAAAATCATATAAATATATTTTTCGTAATATGAGCCAGAATTCTTTTTTGACAATTTAAGGTTTTTCCATAGAGCTTATTTATATCAACTTTTTCTTTCCTTTTAAGTGTGTCAGCACTGTAGTGTAAATAGCTTTTAAAAGTCTTTTTAGTATGATTCATATTGAAATGTGAGCCACTTAATAAAGGTTCATAATAATGAATGCTTTCTGTGGAATTTGCAGAAACAACCTGACGATTCAGTTTGTTTGATATATGTCTCTGTTAATATGTACATGTGGGGAGGTAATGGAGGAAAATGTGTGTGCTCAAATCTAGTAAATATTTAAATTTCCCATATTGTACACGCCTTCAAAAAACCAGGATTCAGTTATGAAAGCATATACATATATATAATATATTGTGTGTTTGTGTGTGTGTACACACGTGTGTGTATTTTGGGATGTATATATGTATACTGTTTTGCACAATTTCTTAAATTGATGAATATATGAAAATTCTTAGTGCTACTTCCTGGAATACATCTTAAAATATTTATGTTCAACAATAAGAAAATAATTAGTAGAGAGTTAGAAGTTGGGAGAAACTAAGTATGTTGATGATTTTAGCCTTTTAATTAATGAAGTTATGTGGCCAGATTCTTTAGTCCTAGTATAATCCTCTTTTCCCGTGTAATAGAAAATCTTCTTACTAAAAGGCACCTGAATGTTTAATAATAGCTGAGTAAAAAACTGACATGCACAAAGTTGAATTATGAGCAATTAAAAGTCTTCTTTTACATTTTTCCATGTCACAAAAACAAATTTTGAAGTAGAGGCAATGGTAGTGACTCAGCCGCCACATACAGATGTAACTAACAGCTCTGTCAGCCATCTTTCTCAGGACCTCTCTCTTCCCAGCCGGCCGGGCCAATGTCAGGTGTAGCATCGCGTCCACTGCGTGTGGGTGCGAATGTGGGTGGCCAGTGCTTGCAAGGTGAGTCAGAACGTCTGCACGGTTTCAGTCTGCTCCACTAGGATGTGTGTGTGCGGGGATGCAGCCCCTGTCTGGACTGATGACTGTCTGCTCAGCGGTAAGCCATCAAAGCCCATGCTTTGTATGTGGTGAGAAACCACTTAGAAAAATGTTTCTCACCAGGACCTATGAGAATCAATGTTAGCAACAGTGGGAAGTCTTATCTTCTGACTTAATAAGAAGATGGGCAATGAAATAGGACATCTTGGTGACTTTCAGAAACTCAGTATGCTTGTAGTGTGGACATTTCATGGAGTAGAGGAGTTCAAAGTCATGACTATAAATAAGGGTTTGTTTTATATGTAACTGCACTTATTAAAGCCACTGTAAGCTGAATTTAGGGTTCTTCACCATCTTTCTGGGAAACAAACTCTTAATAGATGAGAGCTAAGAATAGGAAGGGATACTGTTGAGATCTGGTTTTTAAACTGGGGCGACATCCTTACCACAGTGTGTTTATTCCCTGGCCCCTATAGTAGGCACTCTGAGGTCATACCGCAAGGAAGCACTTTTAGGTTGTCCCCAAATAGATGAGCCTTATGGTTTCACCTTAAAGGAGCGCATGTCTGAAACAGCGTCCTCGTAGCTGTTAGGTGTAACCCACGGTCAGTTACCCATAATGTAAAGGTTTAGTTGGTTTGTAAATGCATACATCTCTGTAAAGGTGAGGTATGAATAGCCGACGGGCTCCAGAGTTTAAGGTAAAGCCTTACAGACTTGAATCATGCTTATGCCGCTGGTCTTACGGGTTACTTTTTAAAACTCCTCTTCAGATGCCATCTGAGGACTACCTTTGTTACACACAAATACCTATTTTAATACTGCATATTAATGGTTTTTTAGTTAGTATACTCTCATTCTCCATGTGAAATAAGATTTTTTTTTAATTTCCAGTATCTTAGACCAGAACAATAAAGCACTTAAGATACTTAAGATGCAGTTTTAATAAAATGTCATATGCTATGCAGAGTGATTGTTAATATGTTATTAAGTGATATATAGACCTTCACATAAAAACTTGGGTCTCTCTTTCACACACACACACACACACACACACACACATTTTCCCCTTTTCTCATTTTATTTATATCCTCTTAGCTAAGTAGTATATATCCCATACTCAGGTTAGTTATCAAAAGAATTTAACATTTTTGATATTTAGTTGCAAATTTACATGAAGCCATATATTGATTATCTATGTTCCTTATGACAAGACTATTGACCTTATTGATCAGGTTGGTTTACACAGCACTGTGTACTGTATGTATGTGTGCATTTCTGTATAAACTTGTTTGAAATAGGCTTGTTTCTGAAATGGGAGGGGTAGGCAATTGAAAATTTTTCTTAGGTTAAATGTTTTAAGAAATTTAATTAATGTACTCAAAATAAGATTTTTTTTCTAAATTAAGTTCTATGGCAGGTAAGATTTTTTTGTAAATAATAAATTAGCATTGTTTGGTAAACTCAGTTTTTTTGGGGGGATTAAAGGAACAGTTTATTGATATGTAAAGCAATTATTTACATTTAGGTACAAATTTGTTTTTGGCATTTGAGAGGCTATTTTCCTTGTCTTCCACCTTTCAATAAATAAGATTGATAACCACAGTCTTCTTACCTTTGTTTTGTAATTATTTTCTTAAATTTAACATTTTAGTCTCAGATTCTTTGCAAAGTCCTGTTTCTGTCTTCAGATCATAAAATCCTGAAAGTGATTCTACCTGAAAGTCCCCTTAATCTACCTCAAAGCAGTAATAAAGCGTTACGTTGCACCAGGAGAGGGAACATCGAGGTCATTTCAGATCTTCAGTTAGGTGTGGGTTCTGGAGTGCAAAGTCTACCCTTACTTGGATATCTCTATTTCAGGAAGAGGATGGGAGCACCATTCTTTTCAGGATATTTTAGGTTGTTAAGTGACATGGTGAACTTTTATATTTGTCTCTCTAGCCTGATTATCACTAGTTTGATATGTAGGCAACATTGAACTGGTTTTAGAGTAGATTGCTTATTTAATCTGGCTCTGAGCTCACTTGAGGCAGTGACTAGGATGGCAGTGGGGAGCTTTGCAGCCCTTTCTGGTTTGCTGGCTGGCCCGCCTCCCCTTTGTTGAGTTCTTGCAGTACTCAGGTCAAACATAAGTGTACCCAGAGCTACAGTCCCAGGTCTCAGACATTCTTTCAGGCAGTGGTCTAGGCTGGCTTTGCAATCCAGGCAGGCCTTGAAGCCCTCCTATTTTATTGTTTAGTTCCTGCAGATTGTTGTGTACTACAGATAGAGATAAAGAATATTAAACATGGTAGCCGAGCTGTGGTGGTGCACACCTTTAATCCCAGCACTCGGGAGGTAGAGACAGGTGGATCTCTGTGAGTTTGAGGCCAGCCAGGTCTACAGAGCTAGTTCCAGGACAGGCATCAAAGCTACAGAGAATCCCTGTCTCAAAGAAAACCAAACAACAACAACAAAAAGAATATTAAACACAAAACCCGAGCTACTTTCTTCTTTATGAGCAATAAGAGATTAAGTTAAGAAAAATATTTAACTTTATTTTGTGTGTATTTGTTGTGAAGGTGCCAGATACCCTTGGAACTGGAATTATAGACAGTTGTGAGCTGCCGTGTGGGTGCTGGGGATTGAACGCAGGTCCTCTGGAAGGGCAGGCAGTGCTCTTGACTGCTGAGCCATCTCTCCAGCCTTTATATATACTGATATTTGAAGTGGGAGGAAGTAATCTTGCATTTCAGGAGTCTATCCAGCTCATCCTGGATGTCACGTCCAATTAAAGGCCATGAATGAGCTGAGAGACTACGGACAAGTAGAATCTGTGTTCAGTAGAAACAGAAAGCAAGCTGTGTTAGTCTCTTCTTAAGGTATTACATCTTTATGTGTATGGTCTTCTGCCTGTGTATGTATCTGTGCCACTCCTGTGTGCAGTGCCCACGGAGGCCAGAAGGGGGCTCTAGATACCCTAGAATAGTGGTTCTCAGCCTTCCTAATGCTACAACACTTTAATACAGTTCATGTTGTGACTCCAACCATAAAGTTATTTCTGTTGCTGCTTCATAACTAATTTTGCTACTGCTACGAATCATAATGTAAACATGTTTTTTTCTGGTGGTCTTAGGTGACCCCTGTGAACGTGGATCCTCCCAAAAGGGTTGAGAATCACTGGTCTAGGACTAGTTATAGCCGGCTGTACACTACTGCCACGTAGTTGCTGGGAACTGAACCCAGGCGTCTAGAAGAACAACCTTGCTCTTAACCACTGAGCATCTCTCCAGCCCGCTTGTATGCTTCTTTACTGTGATTTGCTTACTATTGTGAAAATACAAGAACTTTGTTCCAGAATTAATTTGGAGTTTTTCTGTCCTCTAAGAATTTTCTTGTTGAAATTCTGTTTAACTGAGCCACATTATTATGGGAAACGCCTCGTCCGCTGTCTTCAGAAAATTAGCTTTTGCCAATTCTCTTTCTCTTCAGTGAGATTCTGGGGAAGCTGTGCCTTCCTCTCCTCCTCTTCCCTCATTTCACTCTCAACCCTCAGTGGGAACAGGGTTTCGAAAGGGTGCCATTGCCAGATCCGTCCTTCTGGTACCTTTTGTTTAATCCTGCTGCACTTAGCTCTTCATTTCTTCCTCCCTATTTCCCTCCCTCCCTCCCTCCCTTAAAGATCTGTGACATCTATTCTTTGGGGAGTGGTGGTAGGTTTTGGGTGTTTGGAAGGGTTCAGCCTCTCTGAAGAGGGTAGTCACCATGGGCTTTCTGACTGCAGAACCTTCAGTTAGTCTGGTTTCTCATTTACATTTTAATTATCACCCCCGCCCCTTACCCACAAGCACTGACTGCTTCTTCCCCCTCTATCTGGTTATTGGCATCTACACGTCATCTCTTTTTCCCTGCACCCGATGAGACAGCTGCATAAATGTGACAGTCGTAGTGGACGGACATTCTGCCTACATTCAGACAGTCTAGGATGTTCTGGGTGCCCTTGGTCCGCTTCATTTCAGACCCTGGCTATTTTGTTTGTATTTGTTTCTATTGGTCAAAGGCCCCAATTTGACCTTTCTGTTTAGAAACATCCCATGGTGGCTCCTCTTCTAAAGTATGTACACTTAGTGAGAGCCGTTATGACACAGTTCTTTCTGCCTACCATCATATGTTATATTACAGTGATTTTCCATCTGCTGTGCTTAGTTTCCAGCCTTAGCAAATGATGGTGTGCAGTCATCTCGAGGTATCCCTGGGGGTTGGTTCTGAAACCCGTTTCTCAGTCTTCAGATGTTATGTTATTCTATACGAATATTTGTCTATAACTTCTGTATATACTTCGAACCACTCCTACGTTATTTACGATACCTAATATAATGTAAATGCCATCTAAGTTGTTTTCAGGGATAAGTCTACTCACATGTTCAGTACAGATGCAGCGTTTCTCCCATTCCAGTTAGAGGCTGTTGACTGTGGCCAGAGAGCTCCTGTGGCTGTGGAGAGCTGAGTGTACTCTGCTGGGGAATACCTGGAGCGTGACAGTAGCACAGCCACACCGTGTGCTGCTTTGGAATCCCACCTCTGGACTGCCTGCCTTTACTGATGTCCCAAGTGTCACCTCAGTAGAAGAACTTACTTCTGCTGCTATGAGAGCACAGGTCTGACGAACTTAGTAATGCATGTGCTGGGCTCTTGGCAAACCATAAACAGAGTTATTAACGATTTTCTCTTCCCAAGTCTGCCACCTCAATGAATGCTGTTTCCTTAGAGGAAATGGAAGAACAAATGATGGAGGCTTCTGTAGTGTATGCCGTTCCTGTGTAAGTTCAGTACTGCAGCAGAGAAGGGAGAAAATCAGATAAGAAAGTGCTGGCGAGAAGTCAAGTTTGTTTCTGCACTGTGTCTTGGATAACATTTCAGGTCGCTATGTGGGACCCCAGTTGGAAGAGAAGCGCTAATGTGTTAGGTGACTTTTTGAAATGGTCATTTTCCCCTTGGAGCTAGTTTTTCTGAAGATACCGAAAGTTACTATAGTTTAAAGTCTTGTCCCGTCCTGTCCCCTTCCCCGACTGCCTTGGAACTCACATGGCTTCCTATGTGACCAGATGGTCCTCTGCTTCTTCCTGGGTGCTGGGATTAGATCTGCTCCCCAGCCCTGTGTAGCCCTGGCTGTCCTGGGAACCACTCTGTAGACCAGGCCAGTCAGGAACTCACTCATCTACCCTTCTCTGGTATTAAAAGTGGTGCCATCACCATCACCTGGCGCGGATTAGATTTTTAACTGCCTCAAATGTTTAAAATGGCAATCATATAAGCAGTGCCTAAATGTCATCTGAAGCAGAATTAAATTAGTTTTAAGTCTTAATCATTCTTACACTGTTGTAGTTCTCCTAACTGATAGTATTAACAGAAAAATCAGAACTACTGGATCATGACAACTCCATTTTGTTTTAGGAGTGGATCAACAACATAACAGTGAAACATTGTTAGTCTATTCTGTAAAGCCAATAGCAACAGCAGCGTTGGAGCTATAGATGTGGCTGCACATGGGAAGTGATACCCGGCACGCCGACTGTGAAAGGGAGATGGCAGAACATGAGATGCTTAGCACATTGCCTATCTTCCTTTAGACCCTGCTAGAGCTCTGGGCCGAGGCGGACCCGACTGCCTGCTGACAACAGGTGCAGGTAGTGCTGGGAAACAGGCGAAAGGGGAAGATATGCGCCACCGGCCTAGTGTTGGATGGAGAGCACTTGCTACCCACTGGGGAGTTCCCCCTCCACACTGCTCAGACCCTTGTTTATAAGAGCCCCCGGCCAACGTTTACCTCACTGTTAGTTTTACCATTATGAGCTGTTGATCCTCTCTGTTCTGCTTTCATAAGACACTGTAATTTTGTGCTTATTCTGAGAACAGCACATCATTAAATTCCTTTGGTAGTTTGTAAATGCTAAAGGATAGATCATTTCACTCAACAAAGAGAAATACCCCTTTTCCTTTATGGCTCAGGGACGTGCTTGCCCTTCTATGGATGGAAATGATTATGTTCTTTGCTTATTAATTTTAATTCTACTCATCTGCTGAACTGTAAAAAAGCAAAGTAGAAAATGGGCCAAATTTCTAAGGCTAGCAAACTTGTAAGAATGTTCAACTTTTTCACGGTGTCAACCTTCTGACTTCAATCTGACCTTGTCACCTAGAAGAGTGTCAGCATGTTTGTGGCTGTCTTGCTACACACGTGTGTGCTGCAGGCCAGACATGCTCCTATCTAATCTAAGCATAGATCTGTCCTTGGTACTGGAGAACTCTCCGAGAGTGGGTTGTTCTTGTTTGTAGAGCTAGCTGGGGAAAGAGATGTTCATGGATAACAATTTACATTTCATGAAGATGTCTGCTCATAATTTTTTTATTGAGAAATAACCTTTTGTTCAGATTGGAAAAAGTGCTATGTATAAGTTATGTATCTATCATAACTCAGAAAACAATGGCCTCGGCAAGAGCCTGCTTGTTACTTGAGGCAGTGATTATGCATCTTATAAAAAGAAACCCAGAAAGTTTTTTTGTTTTGTAATACTGTATATTTTTTCCACCAATAAGCATCTTTTTTTTGGGGGGGGGTTGTT